TACTAGAAACGTTCAGAAAGATAGTATTAAGAATAGTACAAGAAAGACTCGGCAAGTTTATAAATTCATCATGTGATCATATATAGATTAGCAATCTTGAAAATAATCGAACTCGTGAAAAAGAGAATGCAAAAAAGTCAGCATATAAATTTGAAATTCAATTGAGTAAGATTACTGATAATCATATAAACTACATTAGTTTGTCAACAACAATCACTTTTTAAACCAGGATGTAGGTGAGCATCATAGAGAAATGCCATCATTAGAGGTTTGATATTTATTTATATAAAATCGCATAACAAAATTTTCTTATTACAGAATTCAATTGTTAAAGAACTTACAAATATTTGTGGAATCGCTCGTTATAAGATTACCTCTTTACCAGAAAAAAAAAAGATTATAGTCCGATTAAATCAATATAAATTAAGGAAAAATGGTTAAATCTTCATTTAACCCGTTTTTTTTATCATCCCTAGTTGTACCTGATTTTGATGATGATACTAGGTAGGTTATAATAATACTAATCGTGGTGGTTCGTAATTGTCTGAAATCAAATTATTATATCACGTGATAAAACGAAATCAGCAACTGAGAGGTACGAATGGCGTCCCAATTTTTTATTTTAACCATAGCGATAGGCGTTTATGGTACTTCTTGGGCCTTCATTATGAAAAAGTTTGGTCATAATAGTGGCCCTTTAAGCAGAAGGATACAAGTTAGTTTCAAAGATAAAGCGAGATCAGAATTGGAGCATATAATAAAAAATAAATTACCACTTGGTGTATTTAGATGTATCTATAATTCCGCTTTTTCATTATTTGAGTATTCGGATTAGTTCAGTTATTATTTCTTGAAGCTTATTACTGGGTCCACAATAATAAACTTATAATCCTTTTGTGAAATAAAATTTTATTTTTCTTTAAAGATATTTTTATTAATTAAATCATTATCTCTTTTTGCCATTTTGGGTTGAATCGCTTTAAATATATTTCATAATTACTAAT